CCCACTCCTATTCATCTCTGCTTTGGGAAAGAGGCCAAGACTGTTGATGAAAAAGGCACATACCGAGTTGAGCTTGGAAGAGGTGATAGGTGTCTGGATTCCGGACTGTGGAAGCAATGTAGACCTCAGGAGGTTTTCTGTCTGCTCTGGAAGGGGAGAATTGCTGTAGCAGACCAACAAGGGCTCCAATGATCTCTGGATCATACACCACATCTGTACAAAAAGGAAAACATGACATATTTCTTGAGCATGGAGTAAAAAGCAGAATGGAAGCTACAAAACAAAAATATAAAATATTCACCTTGCCAAAGAGTATGATTTTTATATTCAGGATTAAAAATTCCCAAGAAGAGCTCTTGGAAAACGCCTTTATTTTGTGTGCTATGTCAAGTTGCCCTCATCTCTAGTATCACTAAAAATCACTAAAAATCAGTGCTCCTTATTGTAAAGGCACTGTCAGATAATGTAATTAATAAGCCCAACGAGACAAGCAAAACCCCAGAGCGTTGGTGTTCTGCTACAACTGTCCTTAGCAGAAACTGGGTTGTTACAAACTAGAGGCTGATTGCAAAGGAGTTGGTTTGAACTGCAGCTGTTTTCATCTCAAATCATTTCCTTGAGAGCAGAAATAGCGATGGAAGGTCAGGCTGATGATGAAGGGGCACAAAAGATCAGCCTTACCAACCAGCACCATGATCCTGAAATGTGTCAGCCCTGCTGGGGACTGAGGCTCAAGAGGTGGTGGTTACTACACCCAAATGTGGAGATATGTGCATCCACCACCACCAGACATCTCTGTTACTCTTAGAATCACAATCAGCCAGGTTGGAAAAGATCTTTAAGATCCTCAAGTCCAACAGTTCCCCAGCACTGCCAAGGCCATCACTAAACCATGTTACTGAGGGCCTTGTCTACACAGTTTGTGAACACTTCACTGTGGTTCCACCACAGTTTGTGAACATTTGTTTGTGAACACAATTTGTGAACACTTCCACAGTGGCTCCACCACTGCCCTGGGCAGCCTGTTCCAATGCCTGAACACCCTTTGGGGAAGAAACTGTTCCTAATATCCAGTCTAAACCTCCCCTGGTGCAGGTTGAGGCTGTTTCTTCCTGCCCTATCACTTGTTACTTGGGAAAAGAGACCAACCCTCACCTCACTACAACCTCCTTTCAGGTAGCTGTAGATACAAGTTTTGATACAACATAGTAAGGAAATGTCCTCAGTAACTACTAATAGCAAACAGTAGATATGTATTGATCACCTCCAGGTTTGAGCTGCCTTCAGGAATCCAGCTTGGGCTCTACAGTACAGCTGGCATGAGGTAACACTCAAACCCTGACTATTTTATAAGATTCACATATTTAATGCATTAGGTGACCGTTTAATGACAAAAGAATATTTTGTCATATTTCACCTGAATTCTTAGGTAACTCTTGCTTTGCAAAGCCCCAGATGAGGGAGTAAAATCCTCTAGCTACAGCTCAGAAATGTTCCTATTGCTACATTGTGCAGTATTAGGGGTTTTTCATATGATTCCTCCAGATTTATATATAGCGGAGATCCAAAAAGGGGTTGTGATTTGGCTTTTTGGTGGGTTGGTTGGTTGTTTAATATGTTATCCCCCAGGAGAATGCCAAGATGGCCTGTTAGTATTGATGAGGCTCTGAGCAGTGTTGGATTTATAATCTGTTTCTGGATCTTAAAATGTAGAAGGGATAAATAATTTGCTTTTTAATGTTATGTATATAGCTGCTGAACATCTGGAAAGACTAAATGGTGAAATGGACTGGGAAAAGATCTGTCACACACCTCCAGACACAGTAACTGAGACAGGGATGAGCACATCCTGCACACGGACACCTCTGTGCTTCCCCCTCTAACCTGTGCGATCATTCACCATGAGGCACAACGAGGGGGAAGGTACCTGCTGCAATGATGACATCAGGTTGAAGAGCCAACAGTTGTTTTTCTGTAACTAAGCCCCACTCAAGTTCTGCAACAACTACTTTCGGGTTTCGGTGATTTGCTCCTTCTGCCTTCTGGCCTCCAGATTCCAGCTGGATATGTTGGGCAGCTTCAGGCTCCAGGACAAAGCCATTCAAACAGATGTTTTGCTTCAGCTGCTGGAGAACGCGGTGGTGGTAGTCACTAAATATGTATGTCTTGGGATTGCAGGTTTTACAGATGGCAATTCCAGTGAAGCCAATCCCACTTCCTAATTCCAAGACTGTCCTGAAGGGTAAAGAAGTACTTAGCAAAACTCTAAGTGGAGTTAGGAAATCAAACCACCTACAATCTAAGCTTTGTCTCTGATAACACAGACAGTTGGTGAACACTGAAGAAGCCATTGTAAAGATAAAAATCAATCACTTGAAATACTGCCCTGGCATGTGGTACAAAGCATTCCCACCATGGGGATGGGACATGTTCTCACCTGGTTTTAGCCTTCTGCAGCGTGGGTGGCTCGATCTAACCAAGCTCTTTTCATACTCAGTGGAGAGAAACAGACACTTGGGTAGTGCAGTTCCTTTTCTTGTGAGCTCCATATTTTAAATTAACCTAGATGGATATTTCCTCAAAAGTGCCTGCTCCTCTCACCTGCTTATAAACAAAGCCCAGAGGAGGAGATCAGACATGTGCACCTGCACACCAAATGTATACAGTCAGATGGGATAAACCTCACCACACAGCGAGTGCAGTAGTTACTCACTAGACACTGCAGTAGCTGAAGTTGAGCAGCCAACTCCACAGAGCAGGTCAGACTACATGGTGTGACAGCTTTGATCTTAAAACCTGTTTTAAAAACACTGCGAGGTCCTCTGCTGGATTCAAGTTTTACTCTAACATCTAACTGTCAAGAATAGACCAGAGCAGCAGTTACCAGCAGCCAGAGGGTGTAGTCACTGTGGTTCTTTTGGAGGTACATTGTTAAGTTACAGTTGTGTGGCTCACTCACACTGTGAAACGTCTCTCCCCATCTCTGTCCAAGCTTATGTTGGTACCTGTTCCTGAAGCCGGAAGGGTTCTGCAGTGCCCACTCGGTGAGATGCAGAGCAGCCTCCCACGTGACGAGCCCCGTGGTTCCTTCAGAGATCACTGCCACACTCTCAGAAAGGGTGACACACTCTCCTGTAGGCTGTGGACACACAAGGCAGCCAAGGTGGATCAGCACAGACATGAGCTTTACAGTTTACAACCCATATTAGCACCTGGGAGAAGGGAAGAAGCACTCCAGGGGTTATTGTTAAAGCCAATTATTGCTTACTTCAGAGGATTAAAGTGATTTATAACACTGCAGCACTGGTTCTTACCAGTAAGTAGTGTTTGTAACAGTGAGTAGATTCTTCTTCATTTAAAATAGCTGCCAGTGCTTCGTACAGTTCATCTAGGGGCTCAGCTGTGATGGATTCATGCTGTGGGAGACAGAACAGGCTGGGTTTGGGTAGCAAATCGTAGTGAAACAGGAAACACGTGTTAACTCATGTTCTAATACACTCTGTCATTATGTTTTATTCTGAATACTGTGGTTTGTTATTACACAAGGTCAAACTGGCCTCTTTTCAAGGAAAAAGATAACTAAGTTGCAAGGAACACCAGAAGCATTACCTTTTTGATGAGTTCAGTTAGAAAGCATCTTCTGTACCGGGCTGAAAGGGGATATTTCACACACAAAGGGTGGAGAATGGTCTAAAACAAAACCAGGAATTGAAGCCAGTTACCAAGTGATGATTTTATGCCAGGCAGGAAGGGGTTAGGGAAAAAGCAGGGCTTTTTTTTTTGTGTGTGTGTGTGTCACAAAGTGCATTCTGATTTAGTCAGTAACTAGAACTGATGCTGAGCCAGGAAAGGAAATTGGGCGACTTCTGGTTGGTTTTCTAGTTCCAGCTCTGTGGCAGAATATGTGGTTTTCCTCTTTTGGGAAAGTAAATAGCAAAACCAAGTGGAAAGAGAGACTGTTTTGGTCTCTTCCTCCTCTTGCTTTTTTTTTCTCTCTTCAGAGAGGTGCAGAGGAGGTTAAGAAGATCCACTGAGGGGCTGAAGCACCTCTGCTCTGGAGCCAGGCTGAGAGAGCTGGGCTGGTTCAGCCTGGAGAAGGCTCCTTAAAGGGAGACCTTAGAGCAGCTCCAGTGCCTAAAGGGCCTGCAAGAAACCTGGAGAGGGGCTTTGGACAAAGGCCTGTAGGGACAAGACAAGGGGGAATGGCTTTAACCTGGCAGAGGGGAGATTGAGATGAGCTCTTAGGCAGAAGTTCTTCCCTGTGAGGGTGCTGAGGCGCTGGCACAGGGTGCCCAGAGAAGCTGTGGCTGCCCCATCCCTGGTGGTGTTCAAGGCCAGGCTGGACGGGGTATGGAGCAACCTGCTCTATTGGAAGGTGTCCCTGCCCGTGGCAGGGGTTTGGAACTGGATGAGCTTTAGGGTCCCTTCCAGCCCAAACCAGTCTGGGATTCTACGATTAAAGACATCTGTGCTCAGGCACATGGGGCTTAATGTTGACGCTAAAACCAGCTAAGAGCAGGAAGAGAAGGAAAACTGTTCTGCCGGGCACAATAAAAAGCTGTGACTCTGATTTTGGTAACGATGAGCAAACCCAGCTGCCGACAGCGAGAGCTCAGCTCCCCGAAGATGCGCTAGGCAGCTCGGGCACCGCTGCGACACCCAGCATCCTGCCCTACCCTGTGCAGAATATCCAGGAGCAGAGAGGAGTCCAGCGAGGTCCGGAGGCTGTGCTCAAGCTCCTAAAACACGATAAATAAAGGTAGTGATGCTCCTCCGTACCCCTGGGCGGCCCCCGCCAAGGGTTGCTGCCTGTGCCCGCTGTTCCGTACCGGCCACGGGAAGGAGCGGAGCTGCCGGGCCGACAGGAAGCAGCGCTGGAAGCGGAGCCCCAGCTCTGGCCCGGCCATAACGCTTCAGCGGGGTCTCGAACCGCGACTCTCCGGTAACCAGCCTGATGCTCCGCGCCCCGCTACCCAGACCCGCGGGGGGCACGGGCTGGCCCTACGCGCACCCTGATGACGCCATCTGCGCGCCCCGAGAACGTCATCGCTGTGCTCCTCGGCGAAGGACACGGCGCCCGCCCGCCGCCGAGAGCCGGACCAGGCCGCACCGGGAGCGTGAGCGGGGCCGGGCCTGGCGGCGCCATGACCGGCTACACCGAGGACGAGAAGCTGCGGCTGCAGCAACTGCGCGCCCTGCGGCGCCGCTGGCTACGGGACCAGGAGCTGAGCGAGCGGGAGCCTGTGCTGCCGCCGCAGCGGCTCGGGCCGGTGGCCGCCTTTTGGGAGCGGTTCCTGAGGCCCGGGGGGCTGTGGCGGCAGCAGGTGAGCGGGGAGGGACGGGGGGCGCGGGGGCGACGCGGGTACCCCCAGGCCGGGCCTGACGCGTGTCCCGCTGCCCGCAGGTGTACAAGGCCTGTCAGACCGGCGGGTTCGTGCTGGTGCGGGTCCTGATCCCCGCCTGGATCATCCTCTACTACCTGAAGTACCACGGCACGGTGCGTGTGCGGGCGCGGGGCGGGGACACGCGTTCACCCCCGTGCAGGGGGGTGATGTGACACGAAGGTTGGCACTGATATGCCGGTTCAGTGTCTGGTCCGGTGACACTCTGCTCTGTCCCGCCAGGTTTCTCCTTGCTTGGGTGGCACAAATGTGTATTTCGGGGGGGGGGGAGGAGGGGGGTGTCTTTCATGGCAGTGAGCAGCTGTGACCGTGCCATCTCCTGTGAGCTGGGAAGCTGTGTCCTACTCATTGCTTTCCTGCAGGAGCAGTGACCCTGGGGATAATGAGGCTGGTGTGGGGAAGGGGTGGCCAACATGCTGCTGGTGGGACAGACTCTTTTTGCTCATATGCTCTAACCTGCCTGGGAGGTGGAGCTTTGTTACCCTTGACTATTGCTTTAACTGGTGGCAAGAGCCCGGCTTAATCAGCCCTGAACTCAGTTGTGTTTAGAAGGGTCCTTTCCCCCATGCTGGAATTCCTGTGTACCGCCTCTGGGTAATACTCTTCTTCCTTTCCCCCTTCCCTCTTTTCTCCCGCCTTCCAGAAAAAGCCTCTCAGTATCGTTACATCAAACCCACGGATATTCCCAGTAAGTAACACTTGTTTTATCTCCCAGCTTTGTAAACCAGGCAGGAAGGTGGTGACAGGGGGTGCAGTAGCCGTGTGGGGACAACTTCTCCATGAATATGGCTGATCCTATGGGCAGGCCAGTTGCAGTATGTTGGAGTTTCCATCCTGACCTCGCAGCTGTCCCTGTTTCAGCAGGATATTCGAGTACCTGACTGACAGCACTGCCCATCCTGGGAGGAAAACACACGTCCCTTGTGGGAATGCAAGTGTTAGTTACAGCACAACAGCGACTTTGTGAAGGATTTGGGTGTTTGAAGCCCCTGTGAAGGTGCGATTAATGCATGGAGTGACACCAGAGGGGTTCTGCTTCTCTTGTGGAAGCTGAGCTCTGCTGTTTCTGATAGTTGGAAGTTTTTTCCTTGACACATCCCTAATTGTGCTTTATCTAAACTAAAACTAAACAGTTCCATCCTTAACAAGCACAGAGTAGCATGCTGAAGGTCAAGTGGTGAGCCTCAGGCTTCAGCCTAATTACTCAGCCTAATTGACTTGAGTTAGGTCAGCTTGGTAGGCCAAGGCAGAGCCTGAAGCTATAACAGACAGCACTTGAGCACCAGATTGGTTTCAGAGGGGTTACCTGGATCCTCATGGGCTGCAGGGTGTGAGTTTGGAGGCTCATAAAGCTGTGCTCTGCTGAAGGTGGTTGTGACATCCAGAGGGACCGGGACAGGCTGGAGAGGTAGGACCATGTGAACCTCATGGAGTCTAACCAGGCCAAGTGCAGGGTCCTGCACCTGGGTCATGGCAGTCCCTAGCACAAACACAGGCTGGGGGAGACTGGATTGAGAGCAGCCCTGAGGAGAAAGACTTGGGGATGTTGGTCAATGAACAGCTCCCCATGAACCAGCTTCATGGAGTGCTTGAGGCTGAACTCCCCCGTGTGCTGGGCTGCATCCCCAGAGCATGAGCAGCATGAGAGGGAGGGGATTGTCCCCCTCTGCTGTGCTCTGGGGAGATCCCTCCTGCAGTCCTGATCCAGCTCTGGGGCAGCAACACAAGACGGACTGGAGCTGTTGAAGAGAGTTCAGAGGAGGCCACAAGGATGCTGCAAGGGCTGAGCAGCTCTGCTCTGGAGCCAGGCTGAGAGAGCTGGGCTGGTTCAGCCTGGGGAAGAGAAGGCTCCTTAAGGGAAGACCTTAGAGCAGCTCTAGTGCCTAAAGGGGCTACAGGAAACCTGGAGAGGGGCTTCGGACAAGGGCCTGTAGGGACAGGCCAAGGGGGAATGGCTTTAACCTGCCAGAGGGGAGACTGAGATGAGCTCTTAGGCAGAAGCTCTTCCCCGTGAGGGTGCTGAGGCGCTGGCAGACGCTGCCCAGAGAAGCTGTGGCTGCCCCATCCCTGGCAGTGTTCAAGGCCAGGTCGGATGGGGCTTGGAGCAACCTGGTCTAGTGGAAGGTGTCCCTGCCTGTGGCAGGGGGCTGGAACTGGATGGGCTTTAAGGTCCCTTCCAGCTCAAACGCATCTGCAGTACTGTAAGTCCAATATATATTTTTAAACCAAGACAGTCTCGGAACATTTAGCTGCTGTTCTGTAGCTGAATAGCCAGGGTAAAGCCAGGACAGGTTTTGGATCATGTGGCTGTGGTGTGATATCAGCACCTGGGGAAGTGCTGAGTTGAGTGGATGGTGTGTGTGTGGAAGCTGAAGTGAAGGCCTGTGCTGGGTGCAGGGGATGTTCTCACCAGACTCTCCCCTTCCCTCAGGGTGACAGAATTTTAGAGACTGGAGAAATTATTCCACCCATGAAAGAAGAACCTGGTGATCACCACTGATGGCTAAAGGCTGATTCCATCCTTCAGCGAGCAAGGCGAGAACTGCAGCTGCTCCCTCTCTTCTATAAAGGAGCCTATGTTCTGCAACACCTCAGCTTTTCTGTCATTTACTTTCCCCTTAGTCCACCTGATTCCAGTTGCTACCAGTATGGGAGTTGCCTTTGGTGAGGATTATTGTAAAGTGCTGGTGATTCCTAACCTCCAGATCCTCAGGTTTTTATCTGACTGACAGGATTTGGCAGCAGGATAACATGGGCCTCATAGTAGCAGGAAGGGTGCTCTATTTCCTTGGGATTGCTCATGGAGAGGTTCACACACAGCAGCTGTCCTCTCCCAGTCCTTCTCCACCAACCAGTTGTGATGGAGCCTTCTGTTGAGAGGGGGGAGTAGAAATGGTGCTGCTGCCAAAAATCCTTCCTTCTTTGCCCTTTAGCACTTTCTCCTTTTTCTTCAGCCCTGAGTTGAGTCTTCCCACCCTCACTGGCCCCACGTTCCTGCAGAACCTTCCTGCAGTTCCTTCCCCTCCTTCTGGGGAAGACTGGCTTCCATGACCCTTATGGATCCCTTCTAACATGAGATCTTCTGTTATTCAAAGTATTTTTTGGCTACTTTGGGGATAGAAATGGTTCAACCAGCAATCCAAAGGGTTAACCTGAGGTCCAGAACCTCATGGAACCTTGTGTGAGCAGTGTTTGTGAGGTCAAAGTGCTAGGCAGGAGCCCCCACCCCACTGTGCCTCGATTATGAGCCAGAGCCCTCAGAACCCTTCCAGCCACACACCAGCAGAGCCATGGCCAAGGCCAGCGTGGGAACTCCGCTGCAGCCCGCTGAGATAAGGGGACCAGTGGAACCCCCAGCAGGAAACAACACTCAGCCCGCGTCCTCCCGGGCCAAGCTGAGTCTCACTCCCTCCCAGAGCCTTGCTGAGCCTGTGTCCGTCTCCTTCCTCAGGTAAAGGCAGCTCAGGAGGGATGGCAAGAGGGGAGTGACATGGAGGGGTGGGCTCAAGGAGCTGTAGTGTCCTGAGCTGGAGGGTCAGTGGAGGCTCCTGGGAGTTGGTGTGGGCTGTTGAGGGGTAGCAGTGGGAGTAGGGGAGTAGTGGGGTTAACAGAGAAGTTGTTAACAGGGGTGACTGAGACCTGCATGTCCTTCCTGTGGCCTTGGGCGTGGCTGCCCCATGGCTGTGGGGGTCTCTGTCCCTACCAGTGCCCCATGGTGTGTTGGCTCCCCCAGCATGGAGTTCTCCATGGGTGCTGCTACCCCACACTACTGCGGCCTGAGGCGCACCTTCGCCTGCACCAACTTGCTGCTGCTCAGCCTGGCTGAGGATGAAGAGGCTGACGATGCAGAGGAGGATGATGATGCAGACAGGAAGGCTCCCCCTGTCCCCTGCACACACCCACCAAGCTCCATGGATACCACCAAGCCCGCCACCCCGCCGGTGAGTGACTGCTGAGGGTTTCCCACCTCCCTGGGGTCCCCTGACACCCACTAACGAGACACTAGTTGGGGTGCCCCACATATCCAAGGTGTGTGTGTTTCCCCCTGCTCCCTCCTCCCCCCACTTCTGCAGTGCTTGAACTGTGACATCCCCTGGGGGCACCCTGCACCATGAGGATGCCTGATGCCCCCAGGGCTCCCAGATTCCCTCAAGGAAGCCCTGATACTTCCTCTAGTGGGAGCCCTCTGGGACTACAAGGAATTCATAGCACCCCCAGAGTCCCAGGGACATCCCCACAAAGTAGCACCCTTAGAGCCAGCCCCGATGTCACACATCCCTGTGATATGGTGCCAGGGTAGCTGTTGTAGGCCACAGGCTCAGTCCCAAGGACTGGTGTGGATCAGGTTGTGGGTCCCCAGGGTTGCCTGGGCATTTTGGCACAGATAACCCTCCCCTAGCAGAGGGGATGTATGCCTCTCCCTCACCCAAGGAGGGGGTCAGTGTCCCAACCCCTCCAGCAAAGACAGTTCAGGACACAGAGCATGGCCGTGTGCAGGTGCAGTGGAAGCATTCATCACCATCGCCTTGCCCATCCCACTGAAGAAGATGGCACGTGGTGCTCAGTGAGGAGGAGCAGACACCCTTTGTAAGACACCACCCCGGTGACAACATGCTGAACCCTTGCAATCCCTGTGCCTCTCCACAAATACAGCCTGGCTCTTCCCTGGGGCCTTGGCCTCAGTTGCACGCCTCAAATTCTTCAAGTTTTGTTTCTCCCTTGTGCTACACAGGGTGATGCGTTATCTCCACAAGGAAACCAAAACTCTCCTGGGGTTGTACAGTATTGTTCCCTTCCTCTGTGTGACGCACACCTGACAACATAGGAACATGCAGGAGTACAGCTTATACATAACTTCCTTCTTAGATCTCTTCTAGCTAAAAAGAACACTCTGATCAGTGATGGATACACGTGTATATATAATATCTAGTCAAGAGTCAAAAAGACTCCAAGCAGCCGAAAGAGATGGTGGATGACCTTCTCCCTCAGAGGTGGTGCACCTGGGCCATGACTTTCTGCCCAGCCCTTGGGAGAGCTGCTGGGGACCTCTTTGTTCCTCAGGCTGCAAATGAGAGGGTTGAGGGCAGGTACCAGGAAAGAGCCACTGGCCAGTCCTGAGCTGGGGTAAGGATGAGGGGAAGTGCCCATGCCAAGCTTGGTGTCGGGGGGAATGAGGACTGGGAGCCCTTCCTCCCTCCCACCTGATGCACCTTGAGCAGGAACTTGGCTGAAAAGCCTCCCCATGTGTCATCTGGTCCTTGTCACCACTGGGCAGCCCATCCTTCATGCTGGGCGAGCTGCCTCTGCTCCCGCTCGGCTCCCAGTTCCTCCCACCCCACACAGTATCCCTGGTATACTCCTTTACCAGAGGAAGAGATGCTGAGGATACAGAGCCTGTGTCTGCACTGACATACAGGGGAAGCTGTGAGGATCCATGTGGTAATTGCTTGTTGGATCTTGACTATGGGGCTTGCAGTGCTGCAGCCTGGGACACTGGGGGAACTGGCTGATGCTCTTGCAGAGCTGCTCTGTCAGCTTTGACAAGTCATGGTGACCAGGAGAGCCTTTGTGCCTGGAGGGAAGCAAGTTGCACTGTCATCAAGAGGCTTGGGGTGACACAGGCAGCAACAGGGCAGACACAGCCTCACTTCAGTCCCCTGGAAAACCATGGAGTGAGTCCTTCCAGAAGGAGGAGATGGGGAACCGTGTCTAAAAAATGTGATGGCTCTGGTGATAATGTGATAAGGTTTGGTCAGGGGATGACCCTGACTTGCCTCCCTTGAGGTTTTCAGTGCTACTCAGACATTGCTTACCCAAATGCACTTCCCTGAATTATTGATGCTCTGCTGCGCTGGTGAATGTTTCTCTTTATAATCAATGACAAACAGGAAGTTACCTGGAGTGAGTGGAACCCTCCCTCTTGCTCCACTGCTCACAGATGAAGATGTGAGGGTACAATTTACATGCCTCAGTTTATACACCTAAAATTAGGAGATGTGAACTGCAGTTCATGTGACTTCCCAACAGCTGGAATTCAGCCACTGCTTGAAATTGCTTTGTACCTGGGTGAAGTTAGGTTTATCCATTTATTCTCCAGAGAGAGACACGCTGATAAGGTAATTCCATGCGGGAACGCCCCTGTCACACCAGAAGAGCTGATGACAGCAGCAGCAGGTTGTTTCAGGCCATGTAGGTACAGTGTTGAACCTCCCACTGAGCATGCAGTGACTCCACCAATGCCTTCTTCACTCCCTGCTACCCAGTGATGCTTCTTACACCTCCATTAATAATCATGCATGACAAAAGGGGCTTGGATGACCCGGGGAATTACAGACCAGTCAGTCTCACCTCTGTGCCTGGCAAAATCTTGGAGCAGATTCTCCTGGAAGGCATGCTAAGGCACATGAAAATCAACAAGGTGCTTGGTGACAGCCAGCATGGCTTCACTAAGGGGAAATCCTGCCTGACCAATTTGGTGGCCTTCTATGATGGGGCTACAGAACTGATGGACAGGGGTAGAGCAGTTGATGTCATCTACCTGGACTTGTGTAAAGTGTTTGACACTGTCCCACACGACATCCTTGTCTCTAAATTGGAGGGACATCAATTTGATGGATGGACCACTCGGTGGATAAAGAACTGCCTGGATGGCCGCACACAAAGAGTTGTGGTCAATGGTTCAATGTCCGGCTGGAGACCAGTAACGAGTGGTGTCCCTCAGGGATCGGTGTTGGGACCGGTCTTGTTCAACATCTTTGTCGCTGACATGGACAGTGGGATTGAGTGCGCCCTCAGCAAGTTTGCCGATGACTCCAAGCTGTGTGGTTCAGTTGATACGCTGGAGGGAAGGAATGCCATCCAGAGGGACCTTGACACGCTTGTGAGGTGGGCTGATGCCAACCTCATGAAGTTTAACCATGCCAAGTGCAAGGTCCTACACCTGGGTGGGAGCAATCCCAGGCACAGCTACAGGTTGGGCAGAGAAGAGATTCAGAGCAGCCCTGCGGAGAAGGACTTGGGGGTGTTGGTCGATGAGAAAATGAACATGGGCCAGCTTCAGTGTGCGCTTGCAGCCCAGAAAGCCAACCGTATCCTGGGCTGCATCAAAAGGATGATGGAGCTAGGTTTTTTTCAGTGATGTCCAGTGACAGGACAAGGGGCAATGGGTGTAAACTGGAGCATAGGAGGTTCCATGTGAACATCAGGAAAAATTTCTTCACTGTGAGAGTGACAGAGCACTGGAACAGGTTGCCTAAGGGGGTTGTGGAGTCTCCTACATTGGAGATATTCAAGGCCTGCCTGGACAAGTTCCTGTGTGATGTACTCTAGGTTACCCTGCTCTTGCAGGAGGGTTGGACTAGATAATCTTCTGAGGTCCCTTCCAACCCTTGGGATTCTGGGATTCTGTGACCAGAAGGTCGAAGGAGGTGATCCTGCCCCTCTACTCTGCTCTTGTGAGACCTCGCCTGGAGTATTGTGTGCAGTTCTGGTGTCCTCAACATAAAAACGACATGGAACTGTTGGAACAAGTCCAGAGAAGGACCACGAGGATGATCAGGGGACTGGAGCACCTCCCGTTATGAAGAGAG